TATATATATATATAAGTATATAAGAAAGATGAATAAATATAGAGTAGAAGTATTAGAAAATTATCAGTTGAAGCTGTGTAGAGGGCAGCAACATGGCTTCTCTAAATCTAGATAATTCGACATTTCACATAATCACGAAAGGCATTATTTCCTTTGACTGTTCAAAGAACTACAATATCATGAAAAGAATACCCATTAAACAGAAAATGAGAAGATACAAGTTTCTTCTCTTTTGTTGGTTTTAGTATGCTATACAAATGTTCATTGTACTAGATTTTTATTCGTCAGTCAGTTTTACGTTTTAACAATTTTTAGTATTTAATAAACCTGCTTTCATATATAATAGTAGTTACACTATTTATAGTACCAAAAACACTGCTGCTTCTTGTATAATTATCCAACATTTTATCTAAAAGTGGATTTTAGAAAACGGGATATTTCTTTGGTGTTGTAGTATGCAAGCATTTTGCCTATGGCCCTTTCATAACTCAAAAATAATTTTTAATGAATATATCTTTATCTGTATTCAGATAATTTGTAACATTTAGCACACGTTATTTTTTTAATTGAACTCTTGTGTAAAACCATATATATGTAAATACTACAGTTAAAAACAACTTAGTTTTGTTTACACGACAAACATTTTTAATTGGGACTGATTTACAGTTTCTTGACCTGTTTAGACGCTCTAACGTTAGTGGCCAGTACACTAGCAAGTCATTAGTACGCTTTTTTGCGATAGCTAATATACTAGACATTTCTAGAGTAGCAAAACGGGGCACTCTTCTTTCTCTCTTTTTGAATAATGAGGCCAGTCTTCTTATGCTGGGCATGGGACCTTGGAAAGTCCTAGCAGAGACTGAACACGAATACATCACCGATCTTATTCGTTGGTTTTTACACTGTGAAGTGTTTTCTTTTGGTTGAGTTTCCGTTATTCGCACTTCTGTTATTTTATTATTTCGTTTACTTACCTGCTAACCAAGTGTGTCATGAAATATCTTAATGTCCACACCTTATTTTTGAATATTCATTCACAGATATACCGAACTAATTAAAACATGTAACATGCACGTGTGGTAAAGCCTGTTTCCTTGTTCCAGGTTTTAAAATCATGAATAGTTATTTAAAGCCTAGTTAGTGTATTGTATTTTGAGCACTGAAGTGTTGCATACAGGAATACTAGATGTTTTATACTCACTTACTTAACATATTTGTTTTCAAATTCTTCATGCCTGAAGATGTATGTACTTTTCATTGCAGAACTCAAGAAAGTAGATAATTTTCTACTACCTATTGTTCTGGATCATTCACCTGTGGTACCACGTGCGCTTTCTCGTAGAAAAGATTTCTGTAGGGCTGAACATATTATATAGAAGGACATAGCGATCTTTTTCACTGTTGTGGCAAGAGATACAGTTTCCCTTATTTTTCGATAGGAATGACAAACAGAAGTTTGGAGAGATTCCCTTTTTCACCGAGAGCTCTCAAACCTACAGTAAAGGTGAATACGTTAATTTAGATTTTTTGTGTGTTTAATAAAAATTGGTTCACGCTTTCACTTGATTTCATTTGTGTCCAGGCTCCATCTTTGCTCATGACTCAGTAAAAAAGTAATCAATACAGTTCAACTTTGCATAGCATTTTATGTCGAATCTTCTGTTATTTTGCGGAGCCCGCTTATTACTCTAAGAGAAATGAATGCTCCTGAGAATACCACGGGGGATTGAACAGATATATGTCAATATTGTTACTTAGTAACTTTGATAACAGAAGTTGTTTTCACTGCTTGCTCTGTTTTCAGTTTAGACTTGTTTTTAACGTTTCAGTCCATTTCTACTGAAAAACATAGTCCTTGTGAAAGCTCATACCAAGTATTGTTCATTTATAAACATTATTTTTTTTACTGTATATCATAGGCATGAAACATAATAATATGGAGCTTATATCTATGTATGGCTGTGTTGGTATCTAGTTAGCGTGCTTGGACTGTTAATTCTAAGATTTATTATCTGTGTACCACTGCTAAGAAAACGCACTCTGCACTTTGGGATCTTGGATCGCTATAAAAGCGAATGTCAGATCCAATTACTTGGTAAACAAACAAAACTGGAAGCTTTAATTCTTTATGAAGTCACAGGTCATGTACTCTAACAGCAAATCATTGTTCTAGCTGTCAATTAGCTACAGTATGATACGTTGATTCTTGACTAATTGTTAATAAATGTGAGTAAAATAGATAATTATAATGAAATAATCCAATGCTAGAAGAAACATTTATATTTAAATTGAATGTTACTGTTAGTCTATAATATACACAGTCTACCAATATCGCTCGTCAATAACTGTGGGAATCACAGATCAGACTCCCTGGGATATTGCAGTTTCTAAGATGAGTCTAAACTTGCACAATTCTCGTACAGTGGATGTATTTGAGTTTGGCGATTATTCCCCGCGGAACTTGTGTTGAACAGTCTGCAAGCCTCCACAGAATAAGGCAATATTTCTGTCTGGTATAGGATACCATTTGTACATCTGGACAGTCAGAGCTGGTTGTATATAAGGTGGCATCACTTCTGCTCGATACATCACAGTTCTTGAGCAAGGCCTTCTACATTTCTACGCAAATTACCCTTTTAAAAAATTAAGTAAAAAATAAAGCAATGTTTTTATGCAAGATGGGGATCCTGCTCATTCAATCCGAGTCATAAAACAATGGCTTAAATATCAAGACATTAACACTCTCTTCTGGTTAAGATAATCGTCAGATACGAGTCTTATTGAACATGTGGAACATGCTTGATCGTTCCCTGCTAAAACATTCATTTTCAGAGACACACTCATTTAAGTTCTTGTAGGAATGGTGTAAATACACAGGACCAGCTTTAAAATCTTGTAAATATTATGTTTAACCGTCTCTCTGCAAAATGCAAATACCCTAAATACCAATGATTAATCATTTGCTCTTTATTTCATGTTAATTTATTAAATAAAGCAGTATTTGCTTTGGAGTAGGTGTCTCTTTACTTAATGATAGACCGTGTAATGTATTTTTAATAGTATGACTAGTAACATTTATTCTAGCTAAAAACATCAAAGGTAAGTATGACAAACACGTTTTTTTCTTTTTTCAGTTATCACTTGACAGAGAAGAATTATATTTATTAAACTAAATATTATTTGTTTATCTTGAATTTCGGGCAAAGCTACACGAGTGCTATCTGCGCTTGACGTCCCTAACTTAGCAATATTAAACTAGAAGGAAAGCAGTTAGTCAATACCATCCACGACTAATGCTTGGGTTACTCTTTTAACAAAGAATAGTGGAATTGACCGTCACATTATAACGCTCCCATGGCTGAAAGAGCGAGCACGTTCGGTGACGGAGATTCGAACCCGCGACCTGCAGATTCCGAGTCGAGGATTCTGACCACCAAGTTATGAACTAAATATTGAGCAGAAAAACAACAAGGAAGAACTTAAGTCAAATTCTTATAAATATGAATCATAAAATAGTAAGTTCATGAAGGGCAAGTTTCGACGTTTCATTAATTGCTTTCTTTTGTTGTTTAGTAAATTACACTTATTTTAATATCAAGTATTCAACCTATTTTTAATAATTCGACATCTTATTTATTTTACAGCTACTTTTTCTTTTTACTAAAATCCCGACATGCTTCCCAAAATGCTGAAATGTTCAAGACAGAACTAAAATACTTCCATTGTACCTTTGGAAAAAACCTGTTCTATTGTTCAAGAAATAGTGATGTAAGTTTTCCTAATCATTCTGAAGAATATAATAATGAAGGACTAATGAGAAAAGGTTAACACTACAGTGCACATTTTGCGTCTGAAGAAGAACCAAACAAATTATTGACAAATAAAGAAACCGAAATAAAACTGTTATGAATATTGATAAAGAAGATCCACAAATAAAACCTTTAAAGACAGACAAAACAGTTTTATCTGACTCGCGGGATTCGGAAGATTATTTTAGATGCAGTTTGTGGCCTCCTGATTCGGAATTAGAGTTTTCATTGTTTAGCATTGTGTTACTTATCTTTGGTTTTTTTATGTTTATTGCCGACATTGGTTCAGACTTGTGGGTTGCCATATCTCATTACCATGACAGTAACATATGGTACTCTTCTATCTCGTTTTCCTTTACCATTTTTCCTTCGCTCATGATGTCTGCATGTGCTATGAAATTCTATACCCTTGACATAAAGGAGGGACGGTGGAAAAACTTCATAGTGACGATTTTCCAACTGGGACCCTTAATCGGGTAAGTTAAGCGATTTTACTTTCTTAATGTAGAAATTATATGTCAGTACTCATAATATGTTTAAGATTTTCCATTGATTTGGTAGGAAAAAATGTCATAGATGTAACATAATTAGTATATAAAATAATGTAATGTACAAAATTTTGAACCGTTGTTATTATAAGTAAGTGGATTTGATGCTCAACAGATAAGTTAGAATATAACAATAAACTTAACACAAGTATTTATAATGTCATATATAGTGTTTAAATGTGACATTCTCAAAATATATATAGACTAATGTAAGCACAATTAATTGTTGATGGTATAGCTGACATCTTTCAACATTTAAAAGGTGAAACGAGGTTTGTGGTTGTTAAGAATCACTTAAAAAAATGTTTAATTCTGTAGTTCTTTTCTACTTCATATCTGTAAGATAATTTGTCTGGAGAATTATTGCAAATTAAAGAATCTTAATTTGCAAACGTCTCTTAAGACAAGCACAGCTGTAAACATTTGTATTAGTAAAACGCAAAAAATTATTACGGTTTGTGTAAACTAATAATTGGATGTGCGTATTGTTATGGTAAAATATTGTATACTTTTGTTCTAGTTATTCATTATGCTATTAATATTCAGATATTAGTTATTAAGGCGAGCAATCCTAAATATTTTGAATACTACAGTTGGAAAGTAACCTTTGTAAGAAGTTTGTTTTTGTTTAATGATATCATAATGTTACTTGACGAATAAAAACTGAGATAATTGACATCATGTTGTATACACAAACAATAACATTGTGTTCCTGTTCCATTGCTGATATGTTTAGTTAAAAGCAAATACGTCAAATAATTTTTGAAAATTACTCTTTTTATAACACACGCAATCCAATTTGTTGGTAAAACAATAAACTAAATTAATGTACATCGACAAAGAACTTTGGTCATGTGCTCCAATTAGCTACTGTGGATTATGGAGGAAATGTGGAAGTGTCAGGTGGCGAGATTTCCGGCCATTTTTCTTGGA